TTATTACACATTTCTAGTTTTAATGCACTGTGATCCATGACAGTGGTTGTCAATTCTACTTTTCAGAAATGACTAAGTTTGTGTTGTATGTGTGTGTATCACTAATATTTGTAAATTTCTGATGAATATTTGATAGGAATTTGTGTTTTTAAATTATGAAATATAAAATTAAATATTTATATGCCAATTAAATCCATTTCATTTTCTGTATTAATCAATTCTAATGTTTCCTTATATTTTCCTGTACTTTAACATTCTATGAAAAGGGTACTATAGACTCTCACTATGATTACCGTTTTGTCTAATTCTCCGTGTATTTTTAATAGCTTTGGTTTTCATATGTCAATGATGTTATTTATTTATATAAGCATTTATGACAATTACACTTTCCTCTGTGAATTTAACTTAATCAGTGCAAAGTGATTCTGTATATTATATGTTTTTACCTTAAAATTTACATTGTCTGATATTGATATTGTTATCTCTACTCAAATTTTTCCCATTCTGTGTAAAATGTATTCTTACAAATAATATATTCTTCCTATCTTCTAGAAATTCCTCAATGTTTCTGGTCCAATAAAGGTAAGCATCTCTGTTTTCCAGGGCTACTGTGAGGTTTCTCTTATTTTTCTATTTCTTCAATCAGTTCTTGAAACTATAATCCTTATATTTATTTTTATTTTATAGATTTTCACTTTTATAATTTCAAGCTATAATCTCCTAGTTTTATTTTTTTCTCATTTTCTTCCCATTATTACTGTCCCTACAGCCTTATTTCCTGGCACTTCTTATCACTAATCATAATTAACAATTCTTTAATTGGGAAAAACTGTATACTTTAAGCAATATAAGCAGTATGTACCATGGACGACACTGCACAGTCTAATTATATTTGCATTAGGAAAATCCTAGCAAATATTTTTAAAAACAAATGAATAGTTAGTGATATTGCCAAATGATATAATTTAATATGAAAAATAAAATTAAGAAGTCAAATTTAAACTTACATAATTTTACAATGTTTACTTATGCCTTGGGATCATATTGCAACACATAGATAAGCAGAGCATTAGGACGGTAATCAGTTTAGAAAATATATTCAGTTAGAAATACATATTCCCCTCTCATACTTCACTGTCAAACAACGTGTGGTATAACACTATGATTTTTACTACTTTTTCACTAAAAAAAAAAAAGATGAAAATGTAAGCTATTTAAAGTGGAGATGTTCTCAACAATATTTTTTGGATGGGAATGGAACTAATTTCTTCAAAATATGCCCTGAAATTGACATGGAAAATATGCATAAGAATTTCTAGTAAATATGATATGAGAAAAAGGCAAATTTAGTCTAATAAATAGGGGATATAATTGGTTAAAATAAGTGAATTTGAATGAGGAAGTATTTTCTTAATAGTGTTGAAAACAAAGTGGTGGAAACACTCTGTGTTAGCCAGAGCACTGAGAAAACATCTTATATGAAAAAATACCTCAGGGAATACATTTGGTGATACAACAGGCCCCATACTGGTCTAATGTCTATAATTTCATCTAATTGTCAGTAATGGGGAAAAAAAGGAAGGGAAAGAAGATTACCAAAAACACATGGGCCCGTCTGTCTTTCTGCATGGAAACTCTGTGGGGATTCTGTATTAGAATTACATACTAGCAGAATCTGGTCTGTGACATGTAAGAAAAATTATCTATGGCCATGATATTTTCCATGCTGCATCTGTGAGTACAAAGTATAGTTGAGATGTCAAATTCTCTGTTTTGTCACACTTATAAAGACAGCAGGGAACACTGGAAATATTCCCTCTTGAAATTAACCTGAAAATGCCCCCCCAGAAACCCCACCAGGGAAATCATTTTTTCTTTTCTTTCTTTTTATTGGCAGGGAATCTTTCCTTTCCAAAGACAACATTTACTTACTTTTGACTCTGTTATCAAGCAGGGTGACACAAAATGTATGCCAAGAGAAGTCTGATTATTTCAACTGGTATTTCTTTCTTTGTTCACTTGTCTGAAACAGTGACAGGAACACAGAATGTGGATTCTGAAGGGATCTGAAAGGTTGGTTAGTTGAATTATGTGGCCATAACCTTTTTTTTTTTTTTAATAAATTTATTTATTTATGGCTGCGTTGGCTCTTGTTGTGCACGGGCTTTCTCTAGCTGCGGCAAGCGGGGGCTACTCTCCCTTGAGGTACACGGTCTTCTCACTGTGGTGGCTTCTTGTGTTGTGGAGCATGGGCCCTAGGCGTGTGGGCTTCAGTAGCTGTGGCACAAGGGCTCAGTAGTTGTGGCTCGCGGGGTCTAGAGCGCAGGCTCAGTAGCTCTGCAGCATGTGGGATCTTCCCGGACCAGGGCTCGAAGCCCATAACCTTTTTTTTTTTTTTTTTCGCGGTACGCGGGCCTCTCACTGTTGTGGCCTCTCCCGTTGCGGAGCACAGGCTCCGGACACGCAGGCCCAGCGGTCATGGCTCACGGGCCCAGCCGCTCCGCGGCACGTGGGATCCCCCCAGACCGGGGCACGAACCCGCGTCCCCCGCACTGGCAGGCGGACTCTCAACCACTGCGCCACCAGGGAAGCACCCATAACCTTTTAAATGCTTAAAGGGAGAGTGGAGCCAGCCGCATGTTGTGAGCCCTATTCCCATCCAGGGACCTTTGCACTTCCCTCAAATCCTCTTACTTATCACATGTGTAAAGTGATGAAAAAGCCTGATGTATAACTTCCTTCAGCCACTCCCCATTCCCAGTTATTCCAAAGAGATGCTGCTGAGAAAAAGCGATGATGTGCCTTGATGTGGCAAGTTGTCACTCTGTCCTCCTCCTTATCAGAACTTATTAGTAAATGATGCATCGCTTCTGGAATCCATTTCACATTTTCAAAGGTCAAAGGCAGCTTGTGGTAAGCTCTATATTTATATCAAAAAGCATTTTAAAGAAGTATAACATGGGAGATTGGGATTGACATAAATACACTAATATGTATAAAATAGATAACTAATAAGAACCTGCTGTAAAAAAAATAAAATAAAATTCAAAAAAAATTTTAAAAAAGGAAGCATAACATTTATAATGTAGTTTTCACCTAACTCCTAGAATATAAAATTTTATATCCTAAACATTTATGTAGTTTCATATTGTAGGGCACCCTTGTCAGTTTTCTTCTGTTGTTTATGTTAGAGATCTGATCGGTGATAATCTTGAAAAAAGAGCTGACATATGGATTCACTAGGCTCTACTTTTTTCTCTGAGAGCTGAGAAGCGTGCAGGTGATGAATAGCCTTCAGGGAATCGCCAGGCTGGCTTCCAAGAGGCTTTATGAGGCAATGCACTGGAGTCAGCAAGCCCAGCCCTGTAGGGTTACAAACTAGTTTACCATGCTGAGGACAGATCCCACTCTCTGGGGTAGAGAACAGTACCTAAGTTCACAAGACTGATTTATAAAACCAGAATGGTATCAATGTCCAGCAAGAAATGGATCTGTCCCAGGAACCCGAGTACGCGCACCTGCAACTCAGCCCATTGCCTCAAGCCCAGTTCACCGATTTACAATAAGAAACAACTGGCAAAGCGAGCAATGTATTCGAGAGGATATGAAGAATGCATTCTCTTCCTATGAGTTAACATATCTTGGAAAGAAAATAATCAGAACAAGGGAAGTCAGACTGGTGGGTTGTTTAATGGCATAAGCCCGTGTATCCATCTCACAGTGAGGACGCATGCCAGCAAACGGACTGGAATCACCGAGCAGTACCAGCTACAACCTGCTGCATCCATCGCCACGCAAGTGCTGGCCTTGCCAAGTGGTCAGCATACCCTATACACTGCTACAACCTTCTTCGTCCATCTCCACGTGAGAGGCAAAGGTTCCCTGACAACTGCACACAACTGGAGAGGCACTTTCAATATCTGTCCTTTTTTCCTCCCATTTTCATGAATGATTCCCCCCCACCCCTGCACCTTTCTGACCAACACTCTTTTTTTTTTTTTTTTTTTTTTTTTTTTTTTTGCCGTATGTGGGCCTCTCACTGTTGTGGCCTCTCCCATTGTGGAGCACAGGCTCCGGACGAGCAGGCTCAACGGCCATGGCTCACGGGCCCAGCCGCTCCACGGCATGTGGGATCCTCCCAGACCGGGGCACGAACCCGTATCCCCTGCATCGGCAGGCGGACTCTCAACCACTGCGCCACCAGGGAAGCCCCAACACTCTTAATTACAGTCAAATCTTACAACCTGGAAACTCATCAGAATTTTTAAGGTAAATTTATATAGCTAAGCCTTGCTCCATTAGGGTTTTTATTTAAAAGTTTAGCCTCTGTTCCAAGCTCTTGGGAGAAATATTTAACAGTTCAGACTGTTTTCACAGTGTCAATCACGCACGATTGGCATATAAAACCTAACATTTTCTGTTCTACGTTTAATATAACCTGCAATGCCAAGAAATAAATATGTCGATAATAGGAAACATCATCTCATTTTTCTGAGAATGCCTCCTTCCATCATTCCTGCAGTAGACATATTTTACTAACCTTCATGTAACAATGTAAACTCCCTGAGGCAGGGGTTTTTTGCTTGTTCACTGACTTATCCCAAGTGCCTAAAGCAGCGGAATGTTCAATGAATACAACCTACAATCTAAACCATGTATTCAAAAAATAAAAACCAGAAACCAAGAAGTAAGGCCCTGAAACAATATACATCATCTACTTGATCTCTCTGTTTGCTAACTTTCAACATGTCATTCTTAAACCAAACTTCTGTTGAAACAGGATTACAATTACCAAAATACATCATAGTTAATAAGATATTTAAGAAATGTTTGTTGACATTTATCAATATAAAATTATTTCAAAATTCTTTTATCATTCCAATTTTTATCTTTTTTTCAAACGTTTTAGTCTTTAAATTTACACTTGAAAGAAAGAAGTTTCTGAGAATACATGTTTTTCTTTAATAAGTGCAGAGTAGAGGTCAACAAAAAGGCTTTACCTATCACTTTATTCTTCTTTCCATTTTTTATAGGCGTACAAAGCAAACTTCTAATGCACTGCTGTTTTACATTTCCTGTGTTTTCATTCTAAACAAAAACAAAAACAAGACAGCTAAATATTATGAGAAGATGTTTGTCCATTAGATGCTATAGAAACTATATTGGACCTCGGAAGCTGCTAATATATTCATCTTTTATTAGCTGGAGATAACATCAGAGTGCAGAAAATGTACAAATTATAATAAAGTTCACATAAATGTACTATAAAGCAATTAGTCTTTACATTATTAAAAATACTAAATATCCTATTTTCTTAAAAAATTTTTTTTCATATTTTCCATTTTATTTACCCGTATTTCTTTTATTTTCCATTTTAAACTCTCCAAGCAGCTTACAGTAATAGTAAGCAAAGTATTTATTCAGTTTCTACTATCCCTGTGTAGTGGATGTCTGAAATAACTTAACAAGAGGGGCAGAAGTCAAAAGCATTACTCCACCTAGGATTCTACATGTTACAAATTTGTCCTTGTGTAGTCTTCCCACTGTTAATCTATTGCCCATATTGCTAGAGTTCTAAAAAGGTCTCCTAGGTAGGCAAATAACAAAGTCAAGGCAGCTGCCTCAAACTGCAATGCTTTTCTGAAGTTAGATGAGAAAAAATACTAGAATTCAAAGTTTTCAGTGTCTGAGAAACTGACCCTTGTAGCTTTGCTCTCAAGGAAAACAGATACTCAGTTTTCCATAGAGCTGTTCACTGCGGTAGATTACCAATTACAGGCATTTAAGCCATATGAAACTTAATTGTTGAGGGTAAACTCAAGAACTCCAGCCATACTATCTAAAGAATGTCATTAAGTAGGTAATAGTTAAATTACCTCAAAATTAGTTTATGATAGTTCATTAATACATGTTTAAAAAACTAATAAAAGTACAGAGAAAAATACTCAAACACAGCTGATAACCTCTCAACAGACGTTATAAGCTGTTTTATTCTCCTTCCTCAGATCACGGAAAGCACAGATCACTCCCAAAGAGCCAATTCTAGGGCCAGTCCTTCAGTTACGAGTAACTAGTTTGGGACTTCCCTGGTGACACAGTGGTTAAGAGTCCACCTGCCAATACAGGGGACACGGGTTCAAGCCCTGGCCCGGGAGGATCCCACATGCCTCGGAGCAACTAAGCCCATGTGCCACAACTACTGAGCCTGTGCTCTGGAGCCTGCGAGCCACAACTACTGAGCCCACGTGCCCCAACTACTGAAGCCCGCATGCCTAGAGCCCGTGCTCTGCAACAAGAAAACCCACAACAATGAGAAGCCCGCACACCGCAATGAGGAATAGCCCCCGCTCACTGCAACTAGAGAAAGCTCACACAAAGCAATGAAGACCCAACGCAGCCAAAAATCAATCAATAAATAAATTTAAAAAATTTAAAAAAAAAAAAAAAGAGTAACTAGTTTAAGTGCAGATCTGATAGGAAAACAGCTTTCAAGCTCCAAGTCTAAAATTGGGTTACTTACTGTCCAGGGAAATCTTTTATCTTTACTGACATCTGGGATATTAAGTGGTTCCATAGTATTTTTGACATACTGAGCATACATGTAATTGATTCTGTTCGCATCACGTTCCCTGTGGAGATAACAGAGATGAGTTCTTTCTGTGCAGTGAAAAAACCCAGGCAAAACAGAGTCAAATAGATGATTATAAGAGAAACATAACAGTCGTAAATTATAGAGCAAAGTGTATATCTTAATTGGAAAATGCAGCTTTAAACATATTTGATGATTTACAACTTTGGTAGTTACTATAACTGAAATGCTTTGAACAAACAAAGACCCACAATTTTTCAGCTATCTAAAACAAGTTTAAAATGTCATTAAGTAATCTTATTACCACTGTTAATGGACATGTTGATTTTTGTGCTGTTTAAAATCCATATGAATTTTCCCTATGTCTTATTTTCTCATCAGATTATAGAATGACTAAAGTCTAGTGTCTGTTTTTACTTCTTCAGTTATTTATTTAGTCTATCCATTCCAATAAAACAATCTTTTACACATTTCAGACCAAGGGAAAAATCGAGCAGGCCTCGAAGAATTTTATTAAGCTCTTCTCTCTTCTTTTTTCTGCTTAAAATTGAAAAAAAATTTTTTGAACTTACAACATTTCCCCAGTTTCTTGCTTAACAGGTTGAACATAAAAGGTTAACCTGATGTCACAGGGTTCATAAGTGTAGTGCCAGTAATGGAGTTGGGAAAACAGAACAGAACGCATCTTTTCATCAGGAAACTTCCTATGTTCCTTGGTGATGGGGATGAATTCCGCAAAGAGGGTCAAGTTACAGAAATTTACTCCAGCCATAAGTATGTGCCTGTATTAACTGTAAGATCACTAACTGAAGAAAATAGGAAAGCCTAACAGTGGGAGACGTTTCAAAATAAAATATGTGCCTCAGGAAAAATGTCCACTTGGTCTGAGTTCTCCGAGTGCTAATCTTTTCCTGTCTTCCATCCTTCTCACTCAGCCTGCCAAACTGCTTCTAGAACAGTGGTTTCAAATGATATTCCCAATCACTGTGATTCCACCAAGATTCCTGAAGTCATGGCCTCATTCCTGGCCAAGATAATTGAGTCTTTCCTTTCTTTGCTGTACATTTTAGGTTAAGCGTAATTTGGTCAAATCAGGTACTGACCGTTATGTCCAGTATTACATACAAGTGATCAAGAATGAAAGGGAAATGACAATAGTAACACAGGAATACATGAACTTCAGACTGAACATTTTCTGAGCCTAGATTGATAATGTGGGAAGGCATGCAAAATGTCAGACACATCAGACCTAGGACATTCCTGGGTTTCTATTTCATACATATTATTTGGGTAGAATCCCAAGAAAAGGTTATAAGTGTAGGATTTAGGTTAACAAAACTATTTTAAAACCACAAATATTTCATGGACAGCAAAAGTCTCATGAAAAGAAAACAAAAAACTACAGTAAAGATAAGAAAAATGAAAAGGTAGTTACAGAGAGAAAGAAATACACTGGAGAGGGTATCTTTGTCCAAACCTCTTTTAAAATGATGATGATAATGATGATGATGATGATGATGATGACGACTTTTATTGTTCTTATCACCATCATTATGTCAACAGTGGGAGACGGATGAAACCCAAATAGTTAAGCAACTTGCCAGAGATCATAAATTCAGATGTATAGGCATTGATACAGAGAAGCAGAAGTATTAAAATTACTTTTAAATCAATATAAACCTAACTCTTTTTTCAGTTCCCTGAAAATTTTAAGTTTTCCTGATGGTTACTTTAGTGAAAAATTAGTATTAGCTTTATTAAGGTTATGTGATAGCATCTTATTTCTCACTCTGTAAAAAGTGCTAATAAATTCTTACTTCCTCCCCTCAATGACAACAGACTGAGCACTTCGTCCGTGAGAGGCACCCTTAGCATCATGGCGAGACAAACTTCTAGAGGTCAGTAGCTGTCATAAGGCGCTTGTAATCTAGTAGAGGACTGTGACAGAGAATGAATAATAATACAACGTCTAGTTGCATGTCCTCTTTGAGCAGAGTCTAGTGCAGAAGCCCCCAGCTGTCCCTCAATAACTCCTCTCCCTTTCTCTTTATCTAGACACATGGCCGCTGGGGATAAAGACTACATTTATCAGCCACCCTAGTGGCTTGGGATCATCATGTGACTAAGTTCTAGGCAACAGGATGTAAGTTCTAGGCAACAGGAAATGTGACTGCTTCTAGAAAGCTTACCTAAAAGGCAGCTGATGTGTGCTCTCTGCCCCTTCTTTCCCTGTCCCCCATCCTACCATTTGAAACGTGGATATGAAGGCTGGAGCTGCATCCTGGACCCTGAAGGGAAGGGCCACTCCCTAGAGATGCAGAGTAGAAAGCGTGCAGGTACCTGGGTCCCTGAGGCCTTTGTAGAACAGAGCAGCAACACAGAGCCTGAACTGCCTGCCTCTGGGTCTTTACAGGAGAGAGTCGTAATATTGCATTCTTATTTAAGCGAGTTTTACTTTGGGTTTTTATGATTCACACTCAAACCTAATCCTGACTAATACAATTGGTAACAATGAAAGCACCACATGTGGAGAAGATGAACAGATAACCCCTTGGTGGAGCGGCTTGGAGAAGACGGGGTATTAGGGAAATGTGCAAAAGGCTGGTAAGATTTAAGGATGCATAGAAAGACGTCAAGAATGAAAAGGAGGGGGAGAAACAGTATAAAAACATTGCTGAAATGGAAGAGTTCTAGGTATATTTGGGAAACAGCTACAGATTGTTAGGAATAAAGTGATGGTTTCAGGCTGAAGATGTTAGGACAGGTAGTGGATGATTTTGAAAGTGCAATGCAAAGGGATAGGATCTTTCTTTAAATAACAGGAATATTCTGGTAGCCTTGCAAATGTGCCTCGCAGGTCTGCAACTGCAGGAGACCTAAATGACCGGTGTCTCTAGTCACTGTGCTCTGAAACCCAGGACTGTGTTTGTACTGCAGACACACTTCCCAGGGCTGCTCCTGGAAAAAGATGGAGCACACACAGCATGGACACTAAGGTAGCCCAGGCTTGGGAGACCCAGGATGATTCTGACAGGAGGCTTTGGCTGCCTAAGACACTTTCACACAATGCTCTTTCCTTCTTTGCCCTCTCTTTCACTCTGGGTCAGACTTGTGACCCAGACTTGTCAGACTTGTGACCCAGAGCTCACGGCTCTCTCATCCCCTCCCAGCTCCCTCCCCCTTTACTCTCACATGGGGTTCCCCTAATAAATGTCTTACACATTTAATCTAGTCTTGGCATCTGCTTCTTGGAAGGCCTGGGCTAACTCAGACCTCTAAGGTTTTTTTGCACAGCAGATATCAAGGGGGGTGTACGTGAGTACATCCTTGGGAAGACAGTCATGGACACGAAGCTTGGAAACACTGAGAAATTTCTGTGCTTTTAGATGTAAATGGGAATCACTTCAGGTTATGTGAACCAAAGACAGAAAAACACATCAAAGAGACACAGAAATACTAACACTTACGGACTACTTACTATGTGCTCGAAATTTCCTGAAGCATTTTATGTGCATTAACTCATTTGGTCCTTTCTACAATCCTGCCATCAGTATCTCCATTTTACAGATGAAGAAACTGAGGCTTTGAGAGGTTAAATAATTCACACAAAGCACTATAGCTAGTAAGTGGTGGAACTTAAGTTTAAATACAATCAGTCTGATTTCAGAGTCTATACTCTTACACTCTGTATCTACCATTTTTAAAAGTAGTAAAAACCTTTCTACTATTTAAAAAATAGTGTTACTGTATTTAACTATAATTGTCTTCCAATATAGTTATAACTAGTAAGTATTAACTAGTCTATGTATTCCAAGAAAGTGAGCTTAAAGGAGTAACTCTATGTATTTGTCATTTTATGACAAAATGTGCATTTAAAATTAACATGAAGTTAACTGATATGGAATTATAGCACTAAAATACCTATTTCTTAAAATTAAGAGCTAACATAAACTGTACCCCATCACACTCACTTTTTCCTTTGAATCGAAGCATAGAAACTCAAAAACCTCCCACCATCTGGAAATGAGCTTCCCTTCTGAATTCTTAGGTGACCCAAACTCCAACAGTTTACTGTGCTTTATCCCAGTGATGATATGATTCTAACAATTATGTGTAATGTTCACCCTGAATATTTTTTATTTTTACACTTAACATTTCAGAACTGTCTTCAATAAATTATTTTAATTTATAAAAGGTAATTAGTGGGTTGGTTGGAAAAGTACCAAACTGATACATAACTGCCTAAAAAGGATGATTTGCTTACTGCTAACATCATCAAATTGCCTAGCACTTCATCTCATGGAAGAATGTTTGGATTGACAAAGTGTGTAATAATGAGAATTGGAGAGGCCTAAATTCTATCAATAAGCAATTTTAGAAACATAATACAAAATCTGCTGGCCAAGTGTCAATACCAGTTAGTCCTTCAAAAAGCTGAAGTTACTAAACACCATTTTAATTCGGAGTTTTCACAAAATTAAGCCTGAAATCTAAATTTATTAAAATAAAACCATATTTACATCACTAAGAGGACTTTAATTGCATCATTATAATAAAGGCTAACTATTAGCTAATGTAAGGCACTGGTGTTGAATAATTTTCATTACTGAAGTCAGTTAATCAATCAGTTTAAATGATCCATGTAAATTAGTCTCTTTTAAGGTAACCACACTGACCTATTTATCCTTTATAAAACAATCTTTATACTAAGACTGTCTTGGTATAATTTTAAAAAGTGGAAAGATATCTTCCATTTTTCCTACAGAGAGGGAACGTGATATTCATCAGAAACAAAGTAAAAGTGCTAACAAAAGATCAAGATGAAAAATAAATAAATAAATAAATATTAAGACTTAAATAGATATATAGTAGGACCTCAGTTTTTTTTTAATGCATATTGACCAGTAGAGGTCACTATCATACCAAGTCACGGGCTTGTTCAGCTATCAGAGAAATAAGAGGACTTGTCTGACTTCACAACAAAAATCAAACGTGAATACATAAAATAAAATTACACAGGCAATATGCTGCTACACAAATATTCAAAGGTAAATGTAGATAATTCATCATTTTATATAAATATTTTTCTTTTTGGCCATGCTGCACGGCTTGCAGGATCTTAGCTCCCTGACCAGGGATCAAACCCAGGCCCCAACGGTGAAAGTGCTGAGTCCTAACCACTGGACCGCCGGGGAATTCCCATCATTTTATACATTTAATATGCATTATCATACTGATTTTCCTACTGTCCTCTGGATATATGTAAATTCATAAATATACATGTATATATTTCTTTTTTATTTGTCTATATAGCAATTTATTATTTATGCAAGCCAAAAAGTAAAATAATCAAATATTTACATGTTTAGAAGCTTTCTAAAATGTTCTTTATAAAAAGCAACAAAAATGTATGGTATCATAAAATCAAAATAGTATCTATTAATGCTCCTCCTAAGAATAAGACTTCATAACTGACCTAGGCAGTATAGCCCAATACCAGTATTTAAGAAAGATACATACATACTCTCCAGGACATGTGCATATTATCACATATTCAAAAAGGATTCAATTTCAACTAAAACAATGTCAAATGTGCCAGAAAATATTCACACAGAAGCTTAGAAAAGAATAGATGTGGAGACGGGATATAAACTTCAGTTCATAGCCAGCAATGCCAAGAAGGAAATAAAGATCAGCTATTCTGTTCTAACTTTGTGAACCAAAAACTCCAGTGTAGCAGAAAAATCTCTGGGTACAGATACCATGGTTTATGTACCCTGACTACCCATCCCACGCCCAAGTCACCAGTCAAGGCCTAAGTCAGGTGTACCTTCTGAGTCAAACCCATTCCCCATCTGCCCCCAAGTTACATTTGCTCCTTTGCTAATTCCTGAAATTCTTTTAATAGAAGAAAAGGTCTTTCATATTGTTAAAATAATCATATTGTTAAAATAATAGTCTTGAAATAATGAGTTTTGATTTAAATATAATCACTTAAACTAACAACTCTAAATCACTGTAGTCAACAGTTTCTCCATCTTGATGGGGAACACGGAAGAGGACAGGAAATGCAAGAAAAGATAAGAGGAGAAGAGAGGAAAGGGTACAGAAGGCAGAAGACAGCTTCTGCAGACCTCACACTGATCCATGGGGTCAGTCTTAATTAGGAGGGTCGGAACAAAACCAGTCTGTGCACTTAAGTATTTTGTTCTTGCAGTTGCAAACTCAGGCAGTTCTGCTTTATATGATCTACAGAGATGATTTTCATTTTACTTTGTTTCCAAGTTTTTATCACAAACATTTTCTTCCAATTTTTTATGATGAACTTTTGAAATACATAAGAAAGTTGAAAGTAAAATGAATATCCTATTCCTAGATTCAACAATTTTTAATGTTTTGCCACATGTGCTATATCTATATATGTATGTGCAAACATTTATTTGTTTAAATACATTAATTTAGATATATTTACTTATTTATTTTTGGCTGAGCCATATTTTATTTTATTTTTTGTTGGGAATTTTTAATTGAAGTACCGTTGATTTACAACGTCATGTTAGTCTGAGGCGCACAGCACAGTGATTCCGTTACACATATACATACATATGTATAACTGTTTCTTTTCCCTTTTTCAGATTCTTTCCCCTTATAGCTTATGACAAAATATCGAGTATAGGCCCCTGTGTTACGCAGTAGATCCTTGCTGGTTATCTATTTTATATTTAGTAGCATGTATATGTTAGTCCCGACCTTCTAATTTATCACCCCCGCCCCTGCCCTGGCAGACCATTTTAAACTAAGGTGCAGACACCATAACACTCCATCCTTAAATACACCAGCCTGAATCTCCTAAAAATAAGAACATTCTCCTACTAACCACAATATCTTCCTAATTCCAAAGAAAAGGTACCAATAATTCCCCACCAACACCTAGTATCCAGTCCATATTCAGATTTCCAACTGGCTTAACAAATGTCTTTGATAGCTATTTGTTTTTAACCAGGATCTAATCAAGCTTCACATACTGCATTTGGCTGTTAAGTCTGAGAACAGTCCCTGCCTCCATTTTATTCAATGACATTGACTTTTTTTTTTTAAATTAATTAATTAATTAATTTATGGCTGTGTTGGGTCTTCGTTTCTGTGCGAGGGCTTTCTCTAGTTGCGGCAAGCGGGGCCACTCTTCATCACGGTGCGCAGTCTCTCTTGTTGCGGAGCGCAGGCTCCTCACGGGCCCAGCCGCTCCGCGGCATGTGGGGTCTTCCCAGACCAGGGCTCGAACCCGTGTCCCCTGCATTAGCAGGCAGATTCTCAACCACTGCACCACCAGGGAAGCCCGTCAATGACTGACTTTTTGAAGAGACCAGGCCAGTTATCCTACAGAATGTTCTATAGTTTAGATTTGCACAGAGGTTATTTTTAAAGTATCAGCACCAAGGAGCTTGGTTACTGAGGACATTACTAACTGTGGCATCATTCACTTACATGAAATAATTCTCTGATAAGTCAACTGAAGAGTAAAAAATCTGGAACTTTAATGTCAAACAGTAAAGCTAAAATAATGTTCTATTTCCATGATCATATGAGGCTTTTCAGTTATAATCTCAATAATTAGGAGTAATATAAATTGACACAATTTTAGGGAGTGAAATAATTTGAAACAAATGAATAAGGAATAATGTGATAAAACCAGCATTATGCCCAAGAATTCCTGACGCTTCACCCTGGCAGACTTATATTCCTTAGACTATCTTATTGCTTAAGCAAAAACCACCACTGTTTTGCTAAGGGTGCAAAAGGAAATATGACAAGAACACTTGGTAATTTACTCTAAATCCTTTTTAAAATTCTTCAGAAAGCAAATATACAATTGGGCCAGTAACAAGTATAACCTTGATATGTTAATACTTTCTATTGTTTCTGCGTACCAGTTAACAACAACCAAAAAATTAATACTAATTTTAAAATTTAAAAAAAAAAAACATGAAAAAGAAATGAACTACAATAGAGATCTGGTCTGATTCTAGCCATAGGGTACATGTATTGGTGTGACTGAGATCACAGGCTTCCTTCTGGTGTTAGTTAAATCCTATGGCTGATTCCAAAGCAGAATAGACTCATAGAAAAAAATGTGTTCAGAAGTCTGTCAAATTTCCAGTGAGGGTCTAATATGCAATGAAAAAATATAATTGAAATATAGTACTTGTGGGTCTTAAATGAGTCAGTTCACAAAACACACTGTACCCAGGCCTATACTAATTGTGACACCATTCACTCTATGAAAGAATTCTCCAACATGTCAAATGCTGTGGAAAAAACCCTGGACATACAACATCAAATAGTAAAGTATTTTCACAAATGAAATTATCTGTGGGAGGAAAAAAGCAGCCGTAGCTTCTATGCCTTAAATTAAATAGGTCGTGAAATAACTATGTAGCCAGAATTACATACTTGTGATAAAGACAGACAGATAATTAAGTTTTCTTACCTTGTTAAAGTATCTGACGATTTTTCTAATTCTTCACACTCCATGTGAAACACACTAGAAAAAGAATCCTGAAAACAGAGCAACGACACAGACTGAGAAGTAAGTTTGAGAATGTAATGAAAACTATCTAAATACAGACATATGAGCCTGTGGAAATGACTGAAGACACCAATCCTCGCTCAATTTCTTTTCACTTTTTCAGACAAAACTGATCTAAGCACTCACGACATCCTCAAGTCTACCTCCTATTACTTAGAACATGATGCTGTTGTTTCTGATACTGACTTGCAAAAATGCTTATTTGAGTTTTTGTTCTTCTGCCAGCTGTTAATAAATAATTAGCTTCAAATTTTCTCTATATTTATTCAAAATCCTCAAGTTTTAGCTTTTATGCATTAAATTGATTGCTATTGTTGGGTCTTTTTGAAAAGACACCTAATTCAGTAATATTTTATGAGATCACTAAATTATGAAGATTTTAACAACATAGAGAAGTTTTCTGTTTTTTTTTTTTTTTTTGCGGTACACGGGCCTCTCACTGTTGTGGTCTCTCCCGTTGCGGAGCACAGTCTCCAGATGCGGAGGCCCAGCGGCCATGGCTCACGGGCCCAGCCGCTCCGCGGCATGTGGGATCCTCCCGGGCACGAACCCGTGTCCCCTGCATCGGCAGGCGGACTCTCAACCCCTGCACCACCAGGGAAGCCCGAGAAGCATTTTTGAAGTTAAATTAAAAAGCAAAATACACATTTGAACCCATACTATATTTACAACTGAATAAAAAATTAGAAGGAAACACAAATAAAACAATGATATCAGTTTAATTTGGGGACAGAAGAACTAAGTGCATTTCTTTTCTTGTTCACATTTGGATTTTTGCTCATGTGTTGAAATATTTTTAATCAAAAAATAATTACAGTATAAATGAACATCAAGTCACTTAATTGCTACACCCACCAAATTAAGTCATTAAAAAGCGAACAAAAATATTAATGGGCATACTGCTGAGCTATATTTTAAAGCAACACTGATACCAGTCAATTGCTGCCATGATAGGGTTAACTGGATGAGCTGAATGTTAATTAAAGTGATATTTAAATTGTCTAAAAAAAAGGAGTGCCCTTATGTATAACTTTCAAAAATTAAATGCCAAAGAGCAGGTCACAGAGCAAAAATGATAAATTGACGTACTGCATTAAAGAGTTCTGACCTGAACTTTAAAAGGATAGTTACAATCTTGTAATTATCTCTATATTAAGGAGTTTATAACTGATTGAAAATATTAAATAATATCCATGAGAATACTATCCCATAGCATAGTGAATTCTTATTTGATTTCCTGTTAACAAGAATCAGACACACACACACACACACACACACACACACACGATGGCTCGGATAATGTTGCATCACACAGTACGGTCTTACTATCTAATAAAATAATTAAAAATTTAAAATACAAGTTTTAAATATCTTTTATTATTCTACTTCCCAAAAAGCCATCAATTCAGATATCATATGTGGACTGTAATTGACTTTATACACTTGAGAATTCCCATTCTTTTTCCTAACCCACCAATGAAGAGCCTGTTCTCAGGGTCTAAATGAAAAAGGAAGCAAACAACTACATCAAAAAGAAATATACCAAAAACAGTGGTTCATTGGTTGAGAAGGAAAAGAAACTGCATAAAAGAAAACAACCTTGGGCTAAAGGTCCTGATGCTAACAGCAAACTCAGTTGGCCTGTCTAGAAGTAACCAGCACTGTATGAGAACACTCCATCTTTCCACACACATCCTGTCTCTTTACATTACAAATCAATGGCTTGAAATCTACCAATCAGAACAGTTTAGTGGCCTTCCACGGTGGGTAAAGAATTTGGGACTAATAGGTACCTTTAGCAGCATTGCCTCCATTGGGCCATGCCTTTTGGTTTCTACATAATCGCTGGTAAAAAGAAATTTTTATAGCCAACCCATTCAGAAGGTGGTCTACCTGTTCATAGCAAGAGAGCACAACGATTCTCAACCAAAAAAGGTCTGCACACTGTAGTGACAATGTATTTCTCCAACAAGGTAGTGTAGCCATTGACAAAAGCAACACACTGACATTACCAATGGTAACTGTAATACTTAGTGGAGGGTCAACAAGGTGAAAGGGTGCACTGAAGGCATCCTGCAACCTCACCTCTACCCCTTTTCAACCAGAACAGCTCACACTTGGATTGGCTTTACATAAACAACCATATTCAGCTGGATTTGAGAGAGAGTTCTGAGGCCAACCTGAGGTTTAAAGCAGTGTTTTAAGGAATATAAATTTTTGTCTTTCTAAAAATAAAAAAGTCATACTCTGTACTCACGGAGCAATCTTCATCCACTATGAAAATGGTGCATTTCTGCACCTGCATGAAAGAGATAATAGTGGCAGCTATTTTCTTTAGAATTACTTCTAATGATTGTTGTTCTTCAAAAATTAGGCTAGCAAGGTCAAGCAGCACCTAGACAAAAGAATTAAGAGCTTACTATTAGTAACTGTTTGTAATTATTAATACAATCATTTATATGGGTTGTAAGTTGTTTACACATAATCTAACAAGTTACAACCAAGTTGCCATTCAAGTGTTAAATACATAAGTCTCTGCTTACTAACAAAATTTCCCTGTTGATTGTTAGTACAATTAGTACACTGGTTACGATCACAGACTCTGAAGCCAAAGCCAACCGTTTTTAATCCCAGCTTCCCCTCCTGCAAGCTTTGTGATCTAGGGCAAGTTTCTTGAAAATGGAGATAATAATAGTACCAAAATCATGGAGCTGTTGTGAGGACTAAATAAGTTAACATTTATAAAGCATTTTGAACAGTGTCTGATACATAAAATACACTGTTGTTTCTGGTGATCCAAACTTCTGAGATCAACATTTATCAACATTGCCAATATTTTCACAGAGCACAGCAAATATTGTCCAAAATAAAGTCTTAAGAGTTCCTTTTGTGTTCTTCCTGATAATTCCTCTTTTCTTTACTTACACAGGATTTCATCTAGTCTCACAAAGTATTTGTGCAAGGAGTGGGGGAGAAAGGGTATTATAGAAAATTTATTGGAGGTGATACTATCCTTGCTGAGGCCTGAAAAATGAGCACAAATTGTTCAGGTTAAGTGGGGAAGGAAAATATCTCAATCAAAAAGAACTGAATTGAGAGAAAGTAGCATATTGCAAGTTTTGATCAAATTTTATGAGAATATAGAGCGTAAAGAGGAGAACTAGGGAGATGAAATTGCAGAGGTAAGTGAAGAAAGAACCTCAAAAGCCCTATCTTCTTTTCAAGCAGTTTGGACTGTGATGGATTGCAGGAGAGAAGTGACAAGAATCACAAGTATGTTTGTAAAAATGAGGACTGGATTAATGGGTGGCAAAAATGGAGCAGGGAGACGTCAGGAAGATGCTGAAGTTGAAGTCCGCGGAAGGTCCACAGTCTAACATAAGTTCTAAACAGAGAAATTAAAGGGTGGGGGAGATGAATTATCAAAGAGATAATGAAGGGCTTCCCTGGTGGTGCAGTGGTTGAGAGTCCGCCTGCCGATGCAGGGGACGCGGGTTT